AAAGCTTAGAAGGCACAAGCTCAGCAGCATATGGCATCATCTCGCATGCATTTCGGCACCGTGCCTGCGAGCACTTTCCGAAGCTGCCTGTCGCCATGGAGGACAGGGTCACAGGTCTGGAAAGATGAAGCTTGTCGCTGCATGAAAGTAGGCGAGCAAGGATCACATAAGATGCAGGCCGTCGAAATCCGAATTGATTTTCAATGATTTTCCAGGAAGAAAACATGGTGCAAACATCCCCTGCCAGATAGTATCCAACACACAACAAGAATGCCGGAAATGAGCAACTTTGCGACCGCCCTGAATATGCTGCACTTCTCATGGGTCCTAATTCCTGACCCCGAAGCTCCCCGCAAACTTTCAGCCTCTGCAGGGAGTATCATCCAAGACTTCTATCACTCCGACTCTTTGCTTTGTGCTTGAGGGCAGGGTCTGTAGAAAAGCTTGAGACCGGGGGCTTCCGGCGTGTCGAGAAGGCGTGGGTCTGGGACTCAAAGCTTACGTGGCACTTACGGGCGTGGGGTGGAGGCTTTTGGAATTTCGGATTCGCTTGTTCACTGGACTTCGGTTCGACAGCACCTCGAGCTGCTGTTCTTTGTCGCGGCATTCCCCCCCAGCGTGCCTCCAGTCCAGTGTCTTTTCGAGCCGCATGACCACCTCGCTGGGCTTTCACTGCAGAGATGCCAGACGTGACGAGAAGGAGAGCCGAGAGCCCGGCGTGCCAGGGCTTGGATGGCTGTAGCTGCGCTCTCCTGCGTCTCGACTTTGTCGATGGCCTTGGCCTTCTCCTGCTGAGATGTGCAGAGAAGATTCCCTTCCCTGCATCCATGAAGTGTCCTCCGCAAGGGGAATCTCGAAGCTGAGTCCTCAGCTCATGTGAACATGAACTCTTTTAGAAGTCGTGCTAAGATGGCGCTCGAAAGGCCGGGACGGACCGGCCGAGCTTTCAGAGCTTGCCTCTCACAGTCTCAAAGAAGGGAAGGTGATTCTCAGAACTCAAAAACCGGAGCCAAGCAGCTTGAAAGTCTCGGTATTGAGCTCTTTCATCTGCATGCCATTTAAGGCCACCAGGAGCTGTCCGGTCTGAATGTTGCTCCTGCGTTTTTTATGTTGTGGGGCACTGCAGATGGAAGACTGAAGAAGCTGTACTCCTCTCAGCAAAGCTTCCAGGTGATACCTTCCCCACCTTGCAAGTTGCAGGGCAAGCCCACGGCCAACAAAATCCTTACACGCAAACAAAGAACAGGGAGGCCCTGCAAAACATCATCTCAATTAGAATGAGCTTGCAGACTCTTCCCTTCGAGTTGGAGGCAGGATTGAAACAAAAGCAGTGTGGGGGTGTTCCTTGTCGCTCACCTACAGTTCAAACCTCGATGCTGCATGAGCCAGGCATCAAGCGCATCGAGTCTTCGTCAGCAGCGGACCCCCGTTTTTCCCGACAACCGGCTCCAGCCGGGGTCGGACTCCCACAAAAAAACAGAGCCTCAAGTCACTAGGCCAGATGCCCCCTGACAGACTTTCAAATCACTCGGGCCAGATGCCCCTTGACAGACTTTCAGCCTCGCTGGAGTAATGAAGGAGGAGCTCTCATGACATGGGATTCTCATGCGGGCCCACCCACCTCAAAACTGGAAAAAAAGCGGCCACACCCTAGGAGCCGTCGAAATGCACTGCCTGCCCTCACAACATGACGGACATTGCGCACAAGCATGGATAACAAAACAGTCTAAGGCAGTGCACCATCACAGATTCCGGAGGCATCCCAGCGAAACCGCAGCCTAAGAAGGATGTGGGTCTGTCCCGTTCCAGAGCCAGAGAAATTGACTCAGCGGCTGTCCAAGCTTGACCTCGGCGTCCTCCAGTACGATTTCGAACCTGGCAGCACTCCCAGGTTTGACATTCCTGGCTTCAGGTACTGGGCACCACACTTGTTGGCAGCCTGAGACGAAGACGCATCGCCCGTGAGAAGCCGAGGATGCCTAGAAAAGGACTTCCCGGCTTCGGCCTTCGCCGCCGTGCTCTTTCTCGCCTGGTGGTCCCCTGGGGAAGGCGTCAATCGGTACTCTGAATCTGGGGAGGCTATCCAAGAACCACTGGGACCTGGGAGAGGCACGCGCATGAGCCTGAATGGTGGTGGCCGCAGTTGCTTGCGCCTGGACCTGTTGCGCTGCGGCTGCATCCTGCAAGAATCAGGAATCCGTGGATTCGACCAACACTGTCAAAGCAACGCTACGTCGCTACGTCGCCACGTCCTCAGGAACTTGGTACCGGAGCCCTTAGCACGGATCCAGGCTAAGTCTCAGTCACCGCAACTTCAGCCAGGATCCTGACGGACAGGTCTCGCCTTCAGGCGGTCCCTGCAAGCTCAAAGCAGCTCAAAGTCAAAGCACTCCCTGGCTGCCAGGACAAGGGGCCCCCCTTCTTGGCCCCTTCTTGGCCTGAACGTGGCATCGGTCAAGTCTTTCAAAGCATCTCCGTTCACGGCCACGAGCTCGTAGCCAACTTGTATCAAACTCCTGTTGCATGGACCACTTACTGTCGTCAACATGTCCATTGGATTGACTTCCTTGCTTTATAGCAACATGCGACAAGTCCTCTCTGCAAATGAGCCCGGTGAAACTTTGGCCACCTCGTGGGACACGGAAAGTGAAGCGAGCCACAGCCCATGTCTCGGATCCCGGCCACCGCATTGGCAGGAGGGGCCCCCGAAAAACTGCAGCCTTCGCACACCGAACCACGCAACGAAAATGCTTCTGGGATCTCGAAGCACGCCCTGACGCACCTAACTTCTCTGCCGGATCCTCGAGAACCACCTCTAGCCTTAGCATCAGCTGGCTCCAGCATTCGCAGAGTCTGCAATCCAAATGCATCACACATCACCACACAAAAGGCTCTCGACTCAGGTTGGGACACTTTTTGCTCGTAGCGGATCTGCAGCGGGCGCTGCTTCAGGGCTGCCTGCGGCGGCGGAAGGAATAGCTTGGCTTCGGGGGCTTAGGCCTAGGCAGTTTTGGGACAGCACCTTGAAGTCCGCATCTGCCATGCCAGGGACGGCGACCCCATTGAGTTGAAGGAGCCTTCGGTGATTGCTGTTGGAAGGTGCGGCAGAGTCTCCGCCTCTCCGTTTGCCTTGCTCCAGCTCGGATGCCCGCAGTCTCGGCCCACCCGCCCTTGCTCACATCCTTGGCATCGTGTCGATGACCTGCTGCTTTCCTAAGCCACCCCGCCTTCACCAGGACCTCTCCTCCGGCAAACTGGGGAATAAGACCAAGCTTCGCATCCTGGCCAAGCCGGGAGTTGCAGAAAACGGCGCGTCTCTGTCAAAAGGACCGTCCTCTGTGCCAGCAACCTTGGCTCGGCTCTCTGACAGTCGCAACAGGTGTGAGGAATTCCGAGGCGGCCACTACCTCTCGCATGCTGCTGACCTTTATTGGACGCGGCAGCGCTCGGAACGTTCCGAAAGAGCTCTCTTCTTCCGCGGCTCCGACCGCTGCACTCCGAGGCGGTAAAGGGCACCTCCCAAAGCGACTGCCTCGGTGCATCGCAGCACAGCGTGGTCTCGCATCAAGGCTTTCGGAAGGGCCGCACCAGGCCATTGTCCTGCCTGGGAAGGGGGAAAAACAGAAACATGTTGGCTGAAGACCGAAGCCGAAACGACACAAGATGTCCGAAGATGACGACACACGCGAAACCCCAGGCCTTGCGCAGATTCGATGCCCATGAGAGCGCATGGGCAGGGTTGGGAAAACTGACGCTTAGGTCCCACAGTTGCCCAATGACTGAGTGAACTGGTTTAAGGTCATCTGGGCTCAGGTCGAAAACAGTATGGGCTGCAGATAGGCTCTGTCGTCTGGCACGAGCCCACATGCTTGAAAAGCGGTGGTGATGCTTCACAAGTTACGACTACACTCTGATCGGTGTCACGCGATTTTGCTGCCAGGCAACACACTTTGGTTGTGGCGCAGTGGTGCGGCGCAATGCGGCACCCTAATGCAGGCAGCAATGCAAAGCCCCACACTGTGCTGCACCTTGTGGCGTGCACTGGCATGGGGCGGCTGAATTCCATAAGCAGGTCTGCCGCTGCATCGTTAGATGCTGGACCTCTTCTCAATCTGCGGAGCATGCTCGAGGAGAGTCGACCCCAAGTCAACTGCCAAGGAAAACATGCATCCAGGCATATTAGCGTTATTAGCGGGCAGGCACACGGCGTCGGAACCCAAAGAAAGGCAATCCCTTGGGCTGTGACGTCGGTCGGCGCCCCTCGTGCCCGAGCGTATGGGCCGATCTGAGACGCAGAGCAATCTGCAGTCTTTGTCTGAGCACACGGGGCTCACCTTCTCATTGTCATGGGCTGAGAGCCAAGCTCAAGACGTGGATTTGAGTCTCCTTCTGCTCCTGAAATCGAGTCTCTCGAACCCCGAGCTCCTGGGAGGTTCTCCGTCCTCCTCTGGCTGCATGTACTCCTTGCTTTGCGTGTCGAAGAAGACGAAATTAATTTGCAGCTCCTTGCAGCTCCGATTTTGTAGTCCAAGACATGCGCTCTGAGTGGAAGTTCATGTCATGGCCTCCGGGTCACTGCCTTTGGGAAGTGCGTTTGCATCCTCAGAACCAGCAAAGGGTCAGGCCAAGAATCTCGAGGTCCGAGCTCCCTGAGCTCCCTGCCCCCTCACGGGTCAGGAAGGAGCATCGCTGTACCTGGTACATTGTAGCATCAAGAATCAAAACACAGACACCAAAACCTTCTGGCCGGAGGTACACTATAGAGTTTCGCGTGCTGCAGCGTTCGTCGAAGCTGGCATGCACCACTCGCCTTGCAAACAGGAAGACAGAAAAAGAGTGTGACCTTTCGGGCAAGACGTCACTCTTGTACTGGGGATGCGGCATGCAAGGAAAAAAGTGCCATCTCCTCAGGGAAGACTTTGTTGACCTGCGCTTCCATGCTTGTTGACGGCATCTCAGACAAAGCTTCTCCGGACAGCCTTCTTGCCGCGCCACTGTCCCTTTGCGTGCTGAATCCTCAGAGCCAAAGGCTGTGCAAAAGGGAAGGAGCCTCCTCGTGCTACGAGTACAGGTAGCAGTCTCGGTACATGGCCACAAGGACAGGTCGGAATATGCGTTGCCACAGGTAAACCACATGCTGGGCAGTCCAAACCTCAGAAGGAAGGACTGAAGGACCCTTCAAGTTTTGTTTTACTTCCTCACACAACGCAAACGCAAGCTTAGCCGCGTGCCATCGGAACCTGCGCCTGTAGCAGCCGTCTGCACTCCTCTCTCTGCTCGGGCTTCCGAGCTGCACACGGAATGCCATGACGAGCTGGATCCCACGGCCTCAGGACCACAAGGGATCGGAAAACCCGGATCCCCCCGCCACAACTGGGGTTGCTGCTCCTTCAACTGCCGGTTCCACCAGGGCATGACACACTGCCTCAAGAAAGAAAATCAAAACCAAGCATCAGCTGCCGGCACAGTGCGCGACTTCGTCACAGGAGCAGCCCCGTCTGACCAGCTCAGGAACCAGCGTCTCTCGCCAATACAGCCATTCAAAAACCGTATGAAAGAGCAGCATCAGTGTGCCAACCTGTACAGACATTCATGCTCGTTGATGTTTACAAGACAGGGTGCGCATCTCGCTTCTAGCGTTACCCGTCCAAAGAGTTCAGTATCCCCGCAATTCGGGAAACCAGGTAGCTGACCAGGAGCAATGTGGCATAGAACTCATCTCCGATTGACCAGACCCTGGCCGCACCACTTCTGTGTCGGTTTCGGCCATCGAAAGATACAATCACCGAGCGATGTGCAAAGGCCCCGGCCCTTCGGTAAGCTCCATGGTCCATGCATAGGCCACCATAGACCTTGCAGAATCCCGGCACTGGCAAAACAGGCTCCCGCTCCCGTACCACAGACACACGCATCAGAAAGCAGCTGGGACGTGAACCACATTCCGGAACATAGCAGCCCAAAGAGCAAGATGATCAGCACGGCCCTTCGACAAAATCACTCTCAATGGTAGTCATGATAAACCTCTTACGGAAGTGCATACCGGGACTGAGCCTAGGCTCTCCAGAATGACTATTCTCGGTGCTGCGATGCCTCCTGCGTCGCCCTGTTCGCGCGAGGGTGAGGGCCTCTCGGAGTCAGGAGACTTCTCAGAGCTCTGAGCCGGCACAACCTACGAGAGGTAATCGGAATGGTAAGAATGCTGTCAGAGGGATGTGCGTAATTCGTGGGATGAGACTACTGAGAGGACAACACACCAAGGCCTATAAGCCCACAGGCCTTCAGTAGCCTGTTGGGATTGTCGATGCTCCTTTCTTCGATGCCGCAAGGACAAGCCGATGGGGCTCAGATTCTACACTTGTCCGGCCTGCCACCGCAAACACCATGGTCGTCCTCGAGCAGGTCCACCAGATGGTGGTAGTCACCTTGGGAGTCGGGGAAGACACATCTAAATCCAGACTTCTCCCAGCTTGTCCACTCAGGCAGTGTCTGATGTCCATAGTGTCGTAGTGAGCAGCATGGAAACCATACATTACGAAAAGGATGGCCACGAAGAGGACCTCCACAGGCAAAAGACTGCGAGACACTTTTCTGCTCACGGCAACACTTCCGGGAGCGTGGCAGAGTAGCCGAGCTGCCAAACATTTCCAGCAAGAACCAAAGTCAAGGCCTCAGGAAAAGTAAACGAGTCGTTTTCGTAGCCGCGCGAAATCTGAGCACCCAAGCCGCGATAGCCGTGGATTTGATAAGCTCATGGATGATGGCAAAGACCTTCTGCAACCTTGGGAGCACCGCTCTCCCCGTGCACTTCCTCTCCCTCTCAGATTTTCTTTTTCTGCTGGGCTTCGGGGACGTCTGGGCGACCCTCAGGCCATCGGTCTGCCCAGCCACACAATGTATTATCGAGTGGCTGGCATTGGGGCCCCACTCACTGCTGCATGTGTGTTTGCTGCAAGCCCCTCCGGGTATGTGGCAACCGCTTGGGGCTTGCTATAGCCCCCCATGCATGGGATAGTTTTGGCGGCACGACACAACAATGACTCGACACGGCACAAGACGATACCGTGCAACACCATACGTAGTCACTCCTCCAGGACGATATTGCTTGCCCCCTGTGCGGTCCCTGCATTAGGTGTTGTGAAAGCTACCGCAAGGAAGGCCAAAAACAAGGTGCGACTACATAGGGGTCTCTCAGACTCTCCCTCTCTCGGGCCCCTTAGCCCCGGTTTGCCGGGCCCTGCACTCCATGAGCCGTCGGAAGTTCACCACGAAGCAGCGGCCTCAAAGAGACTCAGCGCGAAACGGAAACGCTCCATGCTTCGCTCCGAATCTCCGTCGAGGCTCGCAGGTACGGCTCCTTGCCGGACGTCTCCTTGCTCACTCTGCGTAACCTGCAAGTACGGTATGAACTGAGCACAAGAGTCCCGACAACGACGTCACAGGGCCTCGAAGTGGTTTGCCTGTCATCCTCAGTCAGGGCCGACAAGCTGCGCCTCGTGACCAGGGGACCTGGACGCAATGGCAGTTAACAACCAACTTACTTTCTGATATTCTCTGAACAAGCGCAGAGATGAGCGTTGCCTTTGATGCCCGACATTCTCGCCGGATACTGGCTGCACAGCCATGTTTGACCGTTTCATAATACAGTGCACCATGGACATGTTATGTACAGGTGCAAGCAGCATTCAGCACCGACCATGCCACTGTTGCATCCTTATGTCCAACATTCTTTGTTGGAGGAGTCGGTGGATGGTGAAACTGGGCGATGACATGCAGTCTGTTTCCGAATTCCCTATCTGCGACGACGCAACAGAACGTCGGTGACCCTGTCCTCCAGGTTAGAGAGCACTGAAGCCCATGCTGCACATCTGTCGACCCCATACTCACATTCGCGCAGACCCTTGGTCATCTGCTTTTGCTCCACCGTGAGGTGTTGCAATTCCTCCCACAAGCCACCTGGCGGAACCGGCGACTCTGACCTGTCCTTGCGGAACTTCCTGGTATCCACGGCACTTCTGCTCCGCTTGAGATTTTTGAAGGTTCCTGCCCCTGCACCGGGCGTCCCTTGGGCCGACGAAGGCCTTGCAGCGACGTTGGCCGTTGTCACATTACGGCAGGCCTCGAGAACCTGCAGATCCCTCTTGCACTGGCGAGAAAGGCACCGCAAGTTCTTCTGAGTTGTGGCGAGCTCATGGAGCAGGACGTTGGAGCGCTGCACTTGGGTGGCCTCAGTCTGACTGCGTGCCTTTGACCTGTTTTCCGGCTTGTTGAGGGTCCATTCCGCACAGGACATAGCAAATTCCACGTCTTTCAACTGCGTGTCAAACCTTCTCCGCAGCTCGCGTTGGTCGCTACTGCACTGCGCCAGGCAGTCCTGAGTGGACTGCTGCGCTTTGGCACACTCCAAGTCAGTGTACTGGACGGTTGAGGAAGCCTTCTTGCACAGATGCTGCGCATCCACCTGCGCAGCCTTCACACGCTTCGCCCAAAACTTCCAGCTGTCCCCGACGGACATGTAGCCAGAGGAAAAAGTGGAATCTCCGGAGCCCCGCTTTGCGGCGGAGTCTTGCCTCAGCGCTGCACGGCGCTGGGCCATTTCCTTCTTCAGGCAACCGAGGAGCTCCTGCAGTTGCTCTGCGGCTTGGCTGAGATCCTCCTCCTGCTTGTCTAGCTCCCGGCGCATGAGAAGCAGAGCCTCCTGCTCCACCTCCAGTGCCTCCATCAAGTTCTTCTGAGAAGTCTCTGGTGCCGGCGTCTCTGAGCTCCTTGCACTCGTCGCGCCTTGGCCTTCCTTGTCGGCGGAACCCGCGGCTCCGACCCAATCAAGGTCTGAGAGCAGCTCTTGCCGGCGTCGGCACACGGAGATGTCTGCTGAGCGAATGTTTCGAGCATGCCGGACTCGACTCTTCGCATCTTCAACGTCAACATGCTGGGCCTCTAGCACCTTGCACGCCCCTGAGATCTTTGCCACCGACGAGACATTCGCCTGAATGCGACTATTTGCTGCCTGACATTCTTCGCGCAGCTTCTGGACGTAGGAGGCATCTACCCGGGATTCTGCCGGTTTCGACAAATCTTCCATCGCCATCTGCGAGAGGGCACGCGCTCGTGCGAGGGTGACGCCCCCGGCTGGGAGGCAGCTGGACTTGCACTTTTGCCCTGCAGCTCTTGCTGGTGCCACTGGGGGTGCAGATGGTGCAGGCTCGGCGATGTCTGGCTTTGAGGCTTCGAGGTCAGCTTGATCCACAACATCCTCGTCCGTGGATCCGACGGCTGTACTGGAGGTCGCGGCAGACGGAGACAGGGGCCACCAAAAGAGATCGGCTTCACGTAGCCTGTCAGGGACGGAGCTTGGAGTCTCCACGCCACCTTTGCCTGGATCCATTCCGCCGGTTCCGCTCCCTACGGGGTCAAAGCTCGGACTTGGGCCAAAGCTGCTTTCGAGATGGCTGAGGTAACATCCAGTGAAGGCCGGAGCTGCCCTGGTCCAAGAAGCCCCGACGCTGCCTGAGCCCGAACCGGGGAAGATCATGCTCCCACTGCTGTCCTGTGCCCAAAAGCAAGCCACACACTCTTGCAGCCCCACTTTGTGTCCAGGCAATTGCAGCTCCTTCATGTCCAACGTCGGCAGGGGTCGGAGCCCTGCAAGCAGGGGGGCCAGCGCAGCCACCTCTGCCACCTGCTCCTCCAAGGTTTGGAGCCTGCAGAAAAGTCGCACACGCTCTGCAAGGAGGACGCGGCCTTGCTTTGCAGCGGGAGCCTGTTGCCTAAAGCCATCGCCACGCCATCGGACACACGGTCAACCGCCTGCTGCCGACGCGCAGGCAAGGACACAGGAGGAAGCTTTCTCTTACCTCCAAAGGAATCATCGCCCTCGGTTCCGACTTCGGTCGAAGAGCCTGGTCTGATGCTCTCACATGCCGTACCTGCCGTACCTGCCTCTGCAAAAGCCTCCATCTGGCTCTTCAGAGCCGGCATGAGCGACTTCGCCACCTGCTCTGCGACCTTTTCTGCCAGCTCTGTGGTGTCCTCGGAAGCGCGAGAAGATGTGACGACAGCGGAGGCTGTCAAAAGACTCTCCTGGACCGTCTGCTCCGTCTCCGGGCTTGACCTATCGGGCTGCTTCCCACGTTCACTGTCTCCGTCTGGTCTGATCCACATGATACCAATCAGACTTAGTAAGAGCTCACCAGGCCAGCTGAGCCGTAGACCCGGGGCTGGGACGCCTTCGGTGTCTTGCACTGTCCTGTGCTACTGATGCTACTGCAGACCAGAGTCGACTTAACGCTTTCGGATCCATGCTCCTCGGACACGCCCGTTTGCGGAGACCGTGGCTGTGGAGACCTCGCGTGATCTGCGGAAGCAAGAGACTGTCAAGAGGCTTGTCTGCTGAGCAAGCGGATGCAGCGGCGGCAAAAAAACCCAACCCCAACAACGGGGAGCGGGCACTGGCCGGAGACCACTTGGAGCAGCAAAACCCTGCATGTCGAGCACCGCTTGGCCATGTGCCTGGCTTCATGCCAGAATCTTACAGAAGTATGGACCAGTATGGAGCTACTGGACTACCCCGAGCCCCATGAGGCTTCCACGGCTGCAGGGCCTCTCCTGGCACAGTGTCACAAGGCGGGTCTTGCAATGCCAAGTTCAGCACTGAATGGACACCGGGAAGTAAGCATGCCGAAGGCACGGGCTGGGCATCAGGCCACGTCTCAGAGGCCGAAATTGATCAGCTTGAGCCAGTCACGCAGGTCTTTACCCGAACACCATGGTAAGGCTTAAGATCTCTTGTGCGAGAAGTGTGTGATCTTTTCTGCCAGCTGGTGCTTGCTCGGTCGATGTTTCTTTGCTGTAGCACTGCCCGGCCCGCACACCCCGCATCTCAATGAGCTGTGTGATCGGCGACTGAGCTGCCCTTGAAAAAGGCCTGCAGAGGCACGGGCCACATGGGCCGAATTATGAATTTGAGCTTGAATTTGAGGGGTGAAACTGCTGTCATTGTCTTTAGCCAAACTCTCGAGATCTCTCGAGTACGAAAGTGCTCTTTATCCACGAGGCTTTGGAATGCCTCAAATAAGTGGAGCCATGTGTTCAGGACCCACCAGCGGAGGCGACGCGGTCCTCACCAAAGTCTCAAAACAGCACCATGCCTGCACGCTGCAGCAATCTCTGGAGCTCCTTGACGTGCCGATCTACGATCTTTTGAAGCCGTTCCGCTTCCGCTTGAGCACCCCTGAAAGCTTGCTTGCCGTTCGCTGCAGGAGGCCATCGTGATGCCAGTCGACTGCACTGGGGGAGTGGCTGCAAGATGCGCTCTCTCTGCTTCTCACCAATCCTGCAAGGGCAAGTGCCTCGCCTTGACGGCCTCCCGCAAACTTGACAAGAGAAGGGGGGGCCCCGGTCCCCGGGCCTTCTGATGAGATCTTCCAGGGTGGCCGTCTCACCTCCAAGAGGCGTAGGGCTCCCGACTCCCGAGTTTTCAGGGGCCCCAGGGCCCGGGCTCATCTCGGACAGGAGAGCTTCGAGGTAGTCCTCCCAAAAGCGAGCAGGAAAAAGGACACCTCAGAGGCCCTTTCTGCTCGGATCCTGAGTGCACTTCTCCAGGTTTTCCATCTCCTCAGCACTCAAACACACCTGCGAATCCCCCCCTTGTCGTGCCACTTCCCGTCCTGCGCGCTCTCCTTTGCGTCTCCCAGCAGGCCCACGGCTCACAACCGGAAGAGAAATCAAATGCTGCAGGACACAAGAACGACATGGAAGGCTCAGCTTTCTCTTCTCCTTTGCTTCCGAAGCCCTCTCGCAGGCACATTCACGTGCAGTGGCTTTTTGGAGGCACACAGGCTCAGGCTCAGGACAGTCTTCCTTTTGGAAGCCGTCGGCTGCGAGCTGCCCGAGTAGAAGCAAAATCCTGGTCCTAGTTCCGAGTGAGGCAGCTGACTGCGAAAATCGCCGGAGTCTGCTAAATGGAAGCCTTGATGCAGAGCCGAGGATGCTGCCACTACGAAAACGAGAATGCACAGAATCTCAATCCACTGGAATTGCACCACAACGTGAAGCAAGCAGCGGCGCACATCAGGGCCAGCGCGGTGACCAGAAAGACTACGCAAAAGGCGCACAGCATCTGCTGCCTGCTGCTTTTCCCCCTGAGCTCCTCCACAGCACAACGGTATACAGTATGACGGAGAAACGTGGGTGCTGCGCTCCTTGAAGACCAGAACCCCCATGACGACCGACAGCAGCAAGCTGGAGCTCCCAAAGATCCAGCCAACGGCCTTGGAAACCACAGGCGTACCTGAAGCGCACTTGCTGCCGAGAACACCCCTGATTTCTGAGATCTCGTGCCTAGCCTGTCATGAACATGAAGTAACCTAAGCCCACACAGATGCCGGCAAGGGCATCCCACATCAGCGCCTCTGCACATCGGAGGGCAGGGACAAGCTGGATACCGGAAGGATCATGGAAGTGGCACAGTGGCTCGCGAGCCTTTCGATACTGCTTGAAGTAACCTTGCTTCAGACTGGTCGACTCACACGGCAATGCAGAGCAATCTTCACAGTCAATGCAGCACCACTGCCAAGCAGTGACCTTTCCAGATTGCGCAAGGTATCTGCCAAGGTGATCGACCTCTTCGCCCTTCGCTTCCAAGGGCTATCCAGTAGAAGGCAGACACCTGACTCATGCGAAAAAGCTTTGTCTGGGCCTTGGACTTGGAGTCTGGAGAATCTAGAGGCCCTCGCCAGCGGGAAAATCGCAACCAGCTGTCCCATCCTCGTCTCAGACTCGGGTCAAAGCTGCAAGGTCCACGAAATCTTGCCGAGCGTCATGAAGGAAAACAGCTGGCTGAAGGGATGCAGCTGCCCTTCTGTTGCAGCGGCGGTAGTGATTGGCGACATGCTGCCCTTAGAAGCCAAACAGCAGCGCCATGCAACATCTTACACACGCTGGGCGCCAATTCTTCGGCCAAGACTCGCAACCCAAACCTGGGACATCAGTGTGAGAAGCGCTGAACCCTAGCTTTCTCCAACAGCGTCGTTTTGCGGCGAAGGAACCACCTGCAATGGGCAGGAGGAACACATACCAACCGTGGCCGCCGTGGCCCTGCGATGGTTGAGATGCCACAATCTTCACCTTGAGCTGTATCGGGGCATCCATTCCAACTTGCAATCCCCGGACAGGGACACCAAAGTCTGTGACAATCCACCTCTTCCACCGCCACGGGCGACGTCTTGTCCGAGGACTGCGAGCATGAATCATGGTATCTGATCACACATGCTACGTCAGCCCAAATTTTCGATTCACTGCCGTCAGCATTTCGGCCCATCCTCTAGGCGCAACTACTCAACTACCTGCAGCGAATGCTCCAAACCTCGGCTTTGGATTTGCGGACGTCGTCCTCGGATGCTCCTGGCAAACGAAGGCCAAAATGAAGAACTCCCCAGAGAAGGCCCTCTGCAGCTACAGACTTCAGAGTTCGGAAAGCTTTGGCCTGCAGATTTCCGTGGCTCAGCCTGCGAAGCAGCATTACCTGGCGGGGCTCCCGCGCGAGAACCCCAGACATCGAGCCCCCGAGTTTCAACCTGTTCCAGACCTCCTTGAAGTCCAAGTTGCACAGCATTCCCAGCAAGCAAGCGCCCAGCCCGGGGAAGAGCAGGTGGGGATCCTTGACAACTCACTGAACATGAACAGTCAGTCTCTGAACTTTTGAAGACTCAGGAGCTGTTGCATTCTCAAACGAGGATGTGTCTTCATCGCCTTTTGGTCAATTCCGGGCTCCCGAGTCGACGTCGAAACAGATGCTACCTAGGCACGGCCTTGGGCTCGATCGCATAAGTCAGTGCTGTTCCATAAGTCAGTGCCAAGCCAAAGCCTCAGGGTGCAAGAGCAAGGCACTATCAATTCCGTGTTGCCCTTGCTTACCGCCATCGCCCTGCCCCCCGCACCACGCTACAATCTACAACAATCTTTTCTACAAACCTAACGATTAGTGCATACTATTATGCATAATATTAACTAATTCCCTTCGTTCATTCCTAAATTCTCTATGTGCTTCTTGGTTGTGTTATGT